GACGCCACTCGCCAAATGTGCATCAACAAAGAGTCTTTCAAGAACTTCAAGGAAGTGAAAGATAAAAACTCTGTTGTGTACATGGGAAATGATGTTGTTGTTCTTGTTAAGGGTATGGGCGATGTAGAACTGAACTTTACTTCGGGTCAGATTTTAAGTTTGACTAATGTTTTGTTTGTACCCGAAGTCAAGAAAAATCTTGTCTCGGTTGGGTTATTGAATAAGTTTGGTTTTAAGTCGGTCATAGAGGCTGATAAGTATGTACTGTCCAAAGGGGCTGTGTTTGTAGGAAAAGACTACTATTGTAATGCATGTTCAAACTTAATGTCATGCCTACTAATAAAATGAATATGATGGTTCTTTTGCATACTTACTTGAGTCTTCTTCTATTTATGACATAATAGACTTGGACATGTTAATTATAGGAAAATGCATGAAATGAGAAAGCATGACTTGTTACCCAAGTTGAATGAAAATGAAAGTAAAAAGTATAGAACTTGCATGCTAACTAAAATCACTAGAAGTCCATTTTCAAGTATTGAAAGGGAGTCAAGTAAATTGGATTTGATTCATAGTAATATATGTGATTTGCATGCAACTCCTTTATTAGGAGGAAATGAGTATTTTGCAACTTTCGTTGATGATTGCACTAGATATTGTTATATATACTTATTACATTCAAAATATCAAGTTATGCAAATGTTTAAACTTTATAATTCTGAAGTTGAACTTGCAAGCAATTGTATGATTAAATGTTTAAGAACCGACCGAGGTGGTGAATATTATAAAAAAAAAAAAAAATTGAGTCTGCTGGTATAAAGCATGAGGTAACTGCTCCATACATACCATAACAAAATAGTATGGCTGAAAGGAAAAATCAGACAGTAATAGAAATGGTTATGCTATGTAGTCTAAATCCAGCCTTAGTCAAGGTTAGTCAAGGTTTTTCGGGTGAAACTCTTTTGATAGCTTGTTATATATTAAATAGAGTACCTAACAAGATGAACTCTATAATCTCATATGAACTTTGGACTAAAAGGAAATTGAACCTCAAATATTTGAGAGTTTGGGGCTGCCGACAATTGTCAAGCTCCCAGAACCTAAGAAAAGGAAATTGGGAGAAAGAAGTGTTGAGTGCATCTTCATTGGATATGCACACAATAGCAAGGCCTATCGATTTATGGTCATAGAGCCCAATGATTCAATTTTGATCAATACGATTATTGAATCTAGAGATATTATCTTCGATGAAGGTATGTACACCTCAACTCCTAGAAATATTGACAATGATAGAAAACAAATAGAGATAACATTCGATGAGGCCAATGAAAACTATGATGACATTAAGCCAAGAAAGAGCAAAAGAGCTAGAAAGCAAAGTCATACGCCTCAGATTTTGTCACTTATCTTGTTGAAGAAACAAGAGATTAAATAAGTGACCTAATTCCTTATTTCTATAATACGGAGGCCGATCGCAAAACATTTGAAGAAGCCATGAAATCTCGTAACTCTTTGTTTTAGAAAGAAGACATAAATGATGAATTGACTCAATTATAACGAATAGAACTCGGGAATTGGTGGATCTTCCACCAAGATCCAAACCTATTTCTTGCAAGTGGGTCTTCAAGAAAAAGTTAAACGTTGATGGAACAATAGACAAGCTCAAAGTCAGATTAGTTGCCAAAGGTTTTACCCAAAAACATGGCATAAACTATTTTGATACATATTCTCCAGTAGCAAGAATAGCTACAATTAGAATGTTACTTGCCTTGGTTTCAATCCAAAAATGGGTAATTCACCAAATGGATATTAAAACAACATTTCTGAATGGTAATTTGGATGAAGAGGTATACATGAAACAATCTGAATATTTTGTGGTCAAAGGGCCAAAAAAAAAAAAAAAAGTGTGTCGGCTTGTAAAGTTACTATATGGCTTAAAACAAGCTCTCAAGCAATGGCACAAAAAATTTGACCAAGTAATACTTACTTGTGGATTCAAACTACATGAGTCTGATAAGTGCATATACAGTAAGTATTCAAATGGTAAAGGTGTTACAGTATGTTCGTATGCAGATGACATGTTAATCTTTGGTACTGACTTACAACAAGTCGAGAAAACCAAAAGTTTGTTGTCTAGCAAGTTTGAGATGAAAGACATGGGTGAATCTAATGTCATATTGGGAATAAGAATTAAGAGGGAGCAAGATACAATCATGCTCGCTCAATCTCACTATGTTGAGAAAATTATTAAAAGGTTTAATCATTTGAATTGTAAACCTATTTCGACTCCTATTGATTCTAACATACACTATGTTAAGAATGAAGGGAATTCTACATCTCAAAATGAATATGCACAAGTAATTGGATGCTTGATGTATGCAATGACATGTACTCGTCCCGATATTGATTAAGCAGTGGGTGTTATGAGTCGATATACAAGTAATCCAATTAGTGAACATTGAGAAGGTATAAAAAGAATCCTTAGGTACCTAAAAGGCACCAAAGACTATGAGATTTGCTACAAAGGCAATCCTCCTGTCTTAGAAGGATATTCAGATGCTAGCTGGATAACAAACAAAGATGATCACTCGTCTACGAGTGGCTGGGTATTTTTGTTTGGTGGAGGAGCAGTTTCTTGGGGATCTAAAAAATAAACATGTATAACAGACTCCACCATGGTTTCTGAGTTTGTAGCATTAGCATTAGCTAGCAAAGAAGCTGAATGACTAAGGAATTTATTATACGAAGTTCCTATGTGGCCAAAACCAGTTTCACCAGTGTCAATTCATTGTGATAGTTCATCAACACTGGAGAAAGCATACAACCAAGTGTATAATGAAAAATCCAGGTATCTTGGATTAAGACATATAGTAGCTTGGTAAGGGACATAATAGCTAGTGGAGTAATCACTATAGATTATGTCAGATCTAAAGAAAATTTGACAAACTCTTTGACAAGAGGACTGATAAATAAGATGGTGTTACGAACATCATCTGAGAAGGGTCTTAAGTTCAGAATATAATTACTTGCATTGGAACCTCAATTCAATGCTAGAAAATGATCTAGTCTTGAATTCAATGAGCGATAGTACAATGTACAAATAATTGAGCACTACAATATTCATCCCAAAGTAATTAGTGCTATATTTTCGCGCTGTGTATCAAGTTGAGAATTAGCTTTTAACAAACTCTTGTAAATGCCAAAATGGCGGGGCATTAAGAAGTTTGCCTAATGAATGTCGGACTGGGTATCCAAAAAGTTTAGGACTTGACTTTATTAACATTCATGAAGAGATATGGGTATAAAACCTTATGTACCACATGCACTGGTAAGGTGCAGGCATGTTGAGGAGAAAGAAATATGTGTGTGTTGACAATAATGGCTTGTAACATGTACATACGGTTCAAAGCTAGCCTACCGGGTTGTACTACAAGTTATGAAAACGAACTAAGGTAATAGTTCAAGTCTAACAACACTATTATTTTATGCTTGGGTTTTGCTAGAATTATTTTGGATCCATTTTAAAAGCATTGAAAATGGCGGGGGATTGTTGGAATATTATTTTCAATATATTGTGAAAGGTTATAAACTTTCATAGTATAAATGAGGAGACATATGCCAAATGTTCAAGTGTTGTGTCTAAAGATTCGAAATAAAAAGACACAAATTAGAAGTGGTGTTTAATCATCCCAAAATCTGGAAAGACGCCAACAAAGAGTTGTGTTTAATCCTAAGAGTCACTAGAACTCTATAAATATGGATCATTTGAAAGGTTTTTGCTACAGAGAAAATTTTCTAAATACTTAGAATAATTATAATGACCATTCTCATCCTTACTTTGATAACTAAACACTAAGTGCATAGTATTTTGGTTTGATTTCCACTTTATTTCGTAAGGAATTCACCTAGACAATTGCACAAAATAGTGGACGAAGTTAAGCTAAAGGAAAACAAGTTCTACTTGTGAATTGGAGACAAATCCTTTTCATTTAGCAAGTGTTGTTTTTCTTTCTAGTAGTTTGTGAGTTAGTGCAGTCATTGTTATTTTTTTTCTATTTTTTTGTAATAGAATTTCAACAATGAGTACTTTGGTTACCATTAAGTTTTATTTCATTCTCTGGGACCTTCAAAGTTTGATCTATATCCAATATACATTGGATTGATCTTGTCACTGAGATGATTTATTATGATAATTGTGAAACGGTTGCTGTTGTAGCCTTGATTTGCATTTGCTGATTGAATTAGAAAAATTATTAGCAAAAAAGGAAACGAAGGGTTTCAGTGGATATTGGCTCATTTTGATGTACATTTTCATATGATGTGAAAAAGATGTTTAGAAGTGCACCTTGATGTATTTATAATGCACATTGATACCTTTGATCAAGCTACGACTTTTAAGAAAGAAACAAGAGAAACTCTAAAAATCCTCTAAACCTGTGATCCGTAATATACTTTTTACTGATTTGAAATGATTGGTGTAAAAAAAAAAAAAAACTATTTACTTATAGAAATTAATTGTAAATTCCTTTATTGTGACGGGATTTCGGAATCAATTATTATTATGATTATGAGAATTAGGTTTTGATTTGTATAGATTCGGAAATGTTTGTGATTTTGCGGATAAATCACGAATCTATTTGTTGGAGACTTATCATAACATTTACAAAGTTTTTTTTTTTTTTTTTGCTTTACAAAGTTTTCTATTCATTCAAAACATTTTCTCTGCTAGACGATAACGCATTAAAAACTTCGTACATGTGCAAATTAACCTCTCAATACATATCAGGCGAGTACTTCGACCAAACTCGTTTGTGAAGATATCTTGTGTGGTTTAAAATTGAAAACCATTGAATGTCAGGTTGAGCCAGAAATGGTATAATATTTTGGGACGGATGAAATAATTTTCTGGATGATCGGTGCTGGTAATTGAGAATGTTCATATATCAGAAATTAAGTTAACTAATCCATAAGTTCTATGATTTTGGCTCAACTGATACAGTATTTAAATACATGAAAGTGAGAACTGTAAGATCCTGTATGATAAGGTGTCAAATGGTGTTTCCTCAATTATCATCGCTAAAGTAATAGTGTCATTTTATTGTTATCGAGTTACTTACAACTCAACGAGCGAGATTTCTCTTACCTTTGGCTGCATCATAATCAAGTCAAATCTGAGAAAGAAAAGAAGAGAGGATTGGTGCACTGATGATGTAGTAGTACGTGTTGTGTTGGAACTTTTTCCAAGCCATACAAATTATACTAATTTCTTCACATTTATTGTGGTTGTGAGAATTACTCCAGTCAAAACGTTCATATATTTTCCCCAAAAATTGGTCGGTGAAAATGTTGCCTTTTGAGAGAGTCCAACAAGTCTTGAAGATTCTAAAAGTGCATAACTTTTTTCTTTTTCCCCTGTGTTTTTTAGGTGCTGAAGCCTGAAGCCTCTGATATATTGATTGGGAAAGAAGGTCATTCCTTTCTGGGAGACTGAAGAAAACAGAGTTCAATTTTGAACAAGAAGAGAGATTACAAGGATGTTAAAAGGGAAAGCTCATGTTCAAGAAACAGATATGCCAACTAGGATGCAGAATGAAGCCATGGCTTTTGCTTCTGAAGCTCTGGATATCTACGATGTCACTGATTTTGCTTCCATTGCAGCCCACATCAAGAAGGTTTCACACACACACACACATACTCCATTTCTACATGTTACTGAATACTCATAAATCAATCTTCCATATGAATTCCAATTGGGTTTTCTGTTTTTTTCTTCAATTGCAGGAGTTTGATAAGATTTATGGAAGTGGATGGCAATGTGTGGTTGGTTCCAGTTTTGGCGGTTTCTTCACCCATTCTAAAGGAACTTTTGTTTATTTTGCACTGGAGACCCTTAATTTCCTTATCTTCAAGGGGGCCTCCTCTTGAATCTTGTTGAATTTCAAGATCTTCTTCCTAGAGATAGTGATAGATTGAGTAGAATGGAATGTTGGAACATACAAGCAAACCATTTTATATTAGTCGAATGGGAATGGTGGATGTTTCTAAATAAAGTCGATTCGATTCAAAGTGGAATCCCTGAGGCTTCTTCTTCTTGGTCAACATAATCATCTTGGATGCAAATGTAATGTGATGGAATGGACTTTATTAATCTTTTTATTGTAAGGTTAAATGATGAAGACAACGAAGGTAGAACATGGGGTGTGGCAGTTTCAGCCTGAACCGACTTTGAGAAATGCAGTGTAGCATTCATGAACCTGATCATTCTGTCATGTACTGAATAAAAAAGTCAACCAGCATGATTTCTCTGGCTTATGGGTTTTTCCTGCATCCCAAAATAAGAGCACTGTTTATTATTTTGTTCTTAGTTCAACAAACAAGAGTATTATCTTGGGACGGAGGAAATGCACTGTAAGCAGGAACCTAATTTCGCCGGCTAGGGACTGCATTTCTAAAATCGAAATAAGCTTCCTGCTTCCCATTGGTGTCAGAATGGTGCAAGTTTTATTCAAATTCTGATAACGAAAACGACTGAATTACGAAATTATGTCGGTTCATGTCAAAGATAGATAGATCACAAAAGTAGCAGAAGAAAATTTTGATGCAACTATGCAGATAAAAACTCTTGCAATGAACCCAAAAAAACTGTTAAAATAAAAAAAGTGCAGTATGGATTGAGGTGAAGGAAGAACAAAATTGTTGTTTAAATTACACTTCCCATTTCATCCTTACGAGTTACACTTTCCATGTTGTACTGTACTATGGTCCTAAAAGTTACAACTAGATACAGTGTAGTATACTAACAGCTCAAGAATCAGAAATATGACCCCATCAGCAAACTATCCTATGTGTTAGTGTATTATATACAGAAAAGAACATCAAGTCCCTTGCTGATTTTTTTACACAAGTGGTTACACTGCCAAATCCCTGAGCATATCGTCGAATAAATCACTTAAAATATGATGCTCTATGTTGACAACTACCTCATCGATTTCATCTGGTGTAGTAAATCCTTTACTCCAACCGAAATCCCAAGCTCCTGTGACTACTCCTTTGCCCCACATATCTTTTTGGAGGACGGTATGAAGTTTGTGCACAATAAGCCCCTTATCGCCAAGTTTATAGTAACTTCTCAAATACTCAATTCCATCACAAATCTCATCCACCAATTGATCAAGGGGGATCCAGATTTTTGACTCCTTAATGAGTGTATTTGGCACTGGATGGACTCCGAAATTACACTGAAGACATCTATTTCCAAGTAGTTCTTTTGCACATTCAAGTAAAACCTCACTGTCATCTGTTTCATATTCATGCAAGCTAGTTGTATGTGAATATGTAGGTCTATGTGAATGAATGTCAAAGAGCTCCTCAGCATGATTAACAAATGAGGTACTACCCAAAAGTAAATTCCTCATGGTGTTATTCCTTTCATATCTTTTCTTGTCAGTTGCATAGAAACTGATGCTATTACCAGCACCTTCTTTGAATTCACTATCGAGAAGAAGGATCACCGAAGAATCACCAGGATAAGCAGCGCTCTTGTTGCAATTAACTGCAGCATAACAGAGTAACATATGCATAAGTATGTGAAACTACAGATGCATCTCCTAAAAACTTGGTAGGTATCATCTTTTAAAGGATGCTTGTGTTTAACTAAGTCAAGTCCATTCATGGTGATCCATAAACAAATTCAGCCGATAAACATTTTTCGAATGGTAGGGTTATCAATATTGAGGTTTATGAACCGCAGCAGCATGGTCCTAACTTAAAGATGGCTGAAAGGGACTAGAAGATTCAGTCCAACAGTTCTTAGTGAAATGATTAGGTATAAACATGAACAAGGATCATTGGGTTCATTTCATCGTTTCCTAGAGCTCATAAAACTGATTTTTAATCAACAACTTCTGAATCACGTTTTAGAGATATTGCACATTTTCAAAAGAATATTGGACACAATTTCCCATGACAAATTGACGCAAAGTAACTTCATGAACTTTGTACTTACCTAAATCTTCGTAAATATCTTTTTCTTCGCCGCCAGTTATCTGCTGTGAAGGGATGATCAAATTTTCTGTCACATCTGGCACGGTTTGTGACACGGGATCAACTGGAAAATCATCACTGCAGATTTCGCTTTCAACCTGCATTACCTTCAATGCGTTAGTGTTTGAAAGTGAAAATTAGAATGACAACAATCACTATTGATCGTCAAGGTCAAAATAAAGTTTGTTCCACACTATGTTCAGACTATTTATTCCTGAAGGCATGAAGCTGGGAAATTGAAACTTTGGTGATGCATTGACTCACTGAAATTTCTGATAGCTCACTGGCTTGTTCTTCTTTCCCAACATTCTTTTTCTGACCAGTTGAGCTCTCTGAGGTTGTAAGGCATTCAGCCATGGTATCTACAGTTGCGCCTTGATCCTTCAGAACCTGAACATTTGAGAAATTTGGTTCCTTCTCAGATTTCCTTGCACTTGCTGATTTAAGCTTAGTTGATTGGAGAGCTTTAGAAGCATCTCTGTATTTTTTGGTTTCATCTTCAGTTGGCTTGCTTGAATTTGGAATTGCCTTTCGGTTCCTGTTGACCATCTTCTGAGATACTTCTTTCTTTTGGTTTCTGGGCTTCAAAGGACTGGAAGCTTTATTCATTGCAGAATGAGGGTTCTCCTGACGTTTGATAGATTTATCACCTTTTCTTGCAACTGCATCCCCAAAATCCTTGCTTGCTCTTTCCTGGATAGGCCTTTTCCCTGGAGATTTTTCAGCTCTCACTTCTCGGCGAATTTCTGTGGACTTTAGAGCTCCTTCCCTGTCATTATGAGGCCTTGGAGGAAGCTCACTTTTCACTTTCCTCTTCCTGAGCATCTTCTCGTCTAAATCCTCAAGCTTCGGCCTACGCAATGCTTCTTCCTTTAATTCAGAAACAGGCAAAGGCTTTATAATCACAATGGGTGGGACATCACTGGCAAATCCTTTTCTCCAGTCTGATATATCTGAAAGATGCTCAAACCGACGCGGAGAGCTACTTGACAAAAGTCCTTTGAATTGTACAGTTTCTGTTAGTTCTTCTAATGTTCGCGGATGTTGATCCAGCTTCTGAACAAAAGGAGGCCTTCTTGCCTTTGGCAAATCAATATCAAAGATAAGTCGCCCTTGATTGAGCGCCTTTTCCTTCCCATAGTGCTTTTGCGGATGTGACTGTAACCGTTTTGGGGAGATATCTTCTAAGCCCATCAGCTTGGCTATTACATTAGGAGCCTTAGGCTTCGTCTCAAGTGACTTGGATATAGAAGAGTCAGAAGAGTCAAATTCATAGGAGAAATAATGTGAGGATTGGCTTGAGCTGGTGGATGGAAGATCCTGAGAGCAGTCTGACTTCGCCTTTGATTCCTTGGACATCTTTGACAGCTTATGATTTTGGTACGAAGGATCCCATGAGAAGTCTGCCTCTGTTCTATCGAAATAACTTTTCTCTTCTTTGAAACTTTTAGGCAACAACAACATATCTGGGGATGATGGAGGCAGCAAGAATTCTGATTTTGGTCTGTCAGAATAAGGCTTCTCTTCATTGTAACTTTTCGGCAACAGGTTCTGTCTAGCAAAGCTCTCTTTTATCACTTCTCTGAGCTCATCAAAACAATCTCTGGCCGACCCATCAACAGAAAATCTGGGATTTTCGAACTCCACAGTTCTTTGGCTTGCATATCCAAAACGATCAGACATAGTCCTTTCAATGCCGCCTCCATCAAGTTTTGCTCCTCCACCCTTATCCTTCTGCTTTTTCTTCAACTTTGCCATGACTTGTGAAGCTTCTTGTAGCTTCCCCAGCATGGCTAGAGACTCCTTAAGATCAAGAGCTCCTTTTAACAAGTTTTCTGCAATATCTTTGGAATGCTTTTCAAGGCTTATATCCTTAGACCAGGTATCTATAACTTGGTTTAATTTCTCTGCACCTCTAGATATTTGCATAAGTTGAAAAGTAGATGGACTATGTAGCTCCTGATCTGTCGGCACTCTGGAGATGGTGTCATTCCTTTCTCCATTCCATGAAAAAGACCGACTCAAATTCTTTTGCGTCTTCGGATGTCCAACCTTTTCATCCAACTTATGAGAATCAGTCTTGGTTTTTCTGCTTGTCTTACATTCCACAACACCTTTTGGATCTTCACAGGAGAAGAATGACCTGTACACAATCGATCTTGGTCCGTCTTGAGGCATATTCTAAATCACAAAAATCCCATTGAAGAAGTCAGACACTGCTTATAATACAGTATTTTACAACAAAATTATAACTATGAACTGAATGTTTTGACTTTGCCGAGCAAACTTTTGCATAAACAAATGGCAATTATCATACATCAGCCAAATTTTAACAACTGTTGCTGTAAGCGCCAGCAGAAACTAAGGTAATATTATTAAGCCTGCCGGCTTAGACACTGAAAGAGATGTGATGGCTATAACAAACACTTTTGAGTAACTCATCTTTTACCATTTTTAGGTAAAAGCTAATTGCCATCAGAACTTCATTCCTTTAGTTCTTCACTAATTTTTTGTACTAAATTGGCAAACTGGTTCCATAAAAATTAGAAATTGGACCACGCAAACCGCGTAATTGCTTCCGTCTTGAGTTTGACAGAGGCTGGAAAAAGCCAAATTTAGGGCATGGTGGATCTAAACAAGCTAAGCATAGATCACAATAAATATTCCACATTGTAGAACAAAGATAGAAGGGATCAAAGTAAAAGATCTTTGATCCCTGAAAATTCCACTTGCTAATATCATACCTCAAGTCTCGAGTCGTTTCGTCCCAGTACAAATTCTTTTCTTGTCCCCTTCTGATCAACCCTTTTTCTTGGTGAAAAGGTTCCTTCTTTGTCTCTCCTGATCAGCCCTTTTCTTCACCCTCCTTTAGCTTAATTCAAGAACCCAAAAGAAATTCTCAGAGAAGAAAAAAAAACAGAGAAGCAAGCCAATAATGCATAATCATTAGTATAATAAAACAAGTAAACAACACTCAAAAACCCAAATGAATTTCTGGGTTCTAACTAGAATGAACCCAGATGAGAAAATCAATTCAACTTTTGAAAAAAAGAACAAGTTCAAGAAAACTAATCATGAAGAACAAGTTAAAAAATGTGGCAAGCTAGCTTTTTTTTTTTTTTTTTGGAGTTAATTCTCACTAGCAACTGCATGTGTTCTTGGCGGCCAAATGAGCCAAAGTTTCCTCAGATCCACGCAACAAGAAAGAAATGGAGCAACAACACAATTACACAGAAGCAGGGGTGAAAAATCTTGACTCCGTTGCCGTGTTCACACAGCATTATATCTTTCAGACGATGAGTCAATATCAGTGTACCAAAATTTAATTCCCCTTTTTCACCCAAACAACCGAATGGAGGAAGTTGAATTTTTGTTGTTACATTATCTTGTCTCATTAATTATTCCTTGTGCCCTCTCAACTCAATAATGGAGATTGTTTGTTTAGTTTTTTCAAATGAACACCAAAAACAAAAAGAAAAAAATGAGATTTTTGGGGTCGCGTTAAATGATTTGTCGGGTACTCTGGCCAGAGTTCCAAAACAAGCAAATCTATTCAAAAGCTTGACGAGGGAAGGTGGGATCCCAATTTAAGAAACAAAATTAAAAACATTCAAAAAATACAGAAAACTGCAGTTATGATGATGAAAGAAACTGCCCTGAAAAAAACAAAATGAACAAAAATACGGAAACCTCAAATTATTTGATTATATTTTTATATTAGTATTTGTAATTTCGTACGTATAATTCCTTGTTTTTTACAAACTGCTCTACTTAGACTATTATCTTGTTGGCTTTGTGAGTGGGGGCTGATTTTCGGCAACAAAAAGGATTCTTTATTCTCATCAACTGTTTGATTTAAATTAAACAAAGAGAAGAACTTTCACCAACCATTTGCTCTGTCACTATACTCGCTCCTCTCCTAATTATAAGGCATTTTGATTTCATCCTATATTTTATTTAATATATCTTTTTAATTAAAATAAAAACTTTAAAAACATTTTATAATAATTAATAGAAAACAACGAATGCGAAAATATATTTTTTTCTTATTAAAAAGACATCTTAGGTTAAACCTATGACGAAATCCAAAATAACTTATAATAAAGACCGGAGACAGTACTTTTTGGGATCATCAGTAGTAAATTAGTTTACTGAAATCTGAGAGTTTTGTTTACTTATAGCATTCAAATATGATTACCATATGATTGAAGTAGATCTAGGATCATGAACCTTATACAATGTCTTACTTTTTGACTTTTTTTATTTAAGTGCATTTGTTAAACACTTTTAAGCGATTGGTAAGTTTTAAACGGTATTATTCACGATGGATACATAAGCCCCTTTCGTGTCACTATTCGATCTCTTGTGTTTAAAGCAAAAAATCAAGTGGGATTTGGTTTTTGTCTGATTAAAAAGGCGAATAGTTCACTTTTTTCTACTTTTTTTTTTTTGTTTTTTGGTCCCGAAATTTCCAACCTAAGGTGCTAAGGTTAGATAGATGTAGCAATTTTTTTGGGGGGATAAAGAGTTGACAATGAAAGGAACCATTTTACATAATCACATCATGTGTTCAGCCCAAAATATTCCTTTGCTTTCAATTACTTGCAAAACATTTTGGGGTGGACAGATATGGACTTCTGAACATCAGAACATGAAGCATTCATTACATTAAAAAAAAAATGATAGTACATCAAGTAATCAGCTTATCCCCATCACATCTGCTAGTTTTTTTTTTATATTATTTTTTTATTTTAAACCTTGCTGACATCAAACTTCGCTTTCAAGAATTGACAAGTTTTAACAAGTTTTGGATGAATAGTCATTTTAATTTTTGGAGAATTTGAAATTTGAGCTCTTTTTTTGAGTGATAATATATTACATGCAGGAAAAATTTGATAAGTAAATTTATAAGAAATGAGAGGGATGAATGTCGACTATCCCTTTAACTCTTAAATGCATAAATTTCTAAAGGAAAGATTTAAATATGAACTGTTATGATTCATTTCCTATTAAAATTTTCTAAAATTTGATGTTCAATGCAGCTTAGATTTAATTTAACTTCAACTTTAAAGGGAGAGGGGAAAAAGATTTAAAACCTTCTAGTACTTAATTTATAGCTGTTGCAGATTTCATTCATATGGTTTTAATTACCTCAGTGCAATTTTGAGCTACTACATTTTATTAATGACAAAAGGGTCAGCAGTCAGAGGATTCACATAACGTTGTACCATAAATTTCGATATCATAGGAGTGAGTGAGTTTATGAACAAGAAACGTTTTAAAGAAATGAGCTACTACCATATATTATGGCCTTCACAGGATTCTTGTCCCTCCTCTGTGGCTCTGTGGTGGTGCCATCATAAATGCCCCCCCTCTCAATATCAATTTCTTCCTACTTGGTCTTCAGTTTTTTTCTTCCTTTTTTTTTTTAACAAAAAATTATTCCTCAGCTCTTAGCTGCATCGAATGAAAGATTTCTAGGTTCGATGTGTGTTTCGAGGAGCTTACGTTCATAGCCAACTATCTTGCAGGCTCAAAAACTTTATAAGCAAGATATTTTGTAGCCTACGTAAAATAATGGAATTTTCCAGGCCTATGACCTCCCTCTTGCGTAGGTTCGATTAACCTCTGATAATGTAGATTCATTGCTGAATTAATATTTTTGCATTATATATCATCTCAACATTGTAAATTTATAGATTTAATTTAGAAGATATAAAATTTTTACAATCTAAATAAGTATTTATGTTGTCTTATTCGTTTTTTCAACAAATTTAACGGAGACGAATCACGAGAAAAGTCAACGAAAACTAAACTCCATTATGTATTATGATAGACTTTAACCAATCAAAATGTCAACATTTTTATAAAACTCAAAAAATTGTTAGTTTTAAAGGAAATGTCATGGCGTTGACATTTCCGTCAACCAACCGACATCAACGCAAAAGTCGACGACAACCACAACATATGATTTTTTTTAAAATCATTTTCTATATTCTTTTATTCTTTTTATGGTTTGCAGCATTAAATTTATCTCTCAATTTAGAATATATAAAGTTTTTACTATTTGCATAAGTTTTTTCCCACTTATTCGTCTTTTTAACAAATTTAACGGGAACGAATCACGAGAAAAGTCAACAAAAACTAAACTTTATTATGTATTTTGATCTACTTTAACCAATCAGAGTATCAACATTTTAATAAAACTCAAAAAATTGTAAGTTTTAGAGCAAATGTTGTCGCGTCGACTTTTCCGTCGACAAACCGTAATCGACGAAAACGTCGACGATAACCATAACATATGGTTTTTTATTTTATTTTTTTTATATTTTTTATTCTTTTATGGTTTTAAGCATTAAATTTATAGAAGATATAAAATTTTTACTATTTAGATAAGTATTTATATCCTCTCATTCGTTTTTTTTAACAAATTTAACGAGAACGAATCACGAGAAAAGTCAACGAAAACTAAATTCTAGTATATATTATGATAGACTTTAACCAATCAAAGTATTAAAATTTTAATAAAACTAAAAAATTGTTAGTTTTAAAGGAAATGTCGTCACGTCGACTTTTCCGTCGACCAACCATCGACGAACTAGGCGACGACAACGATAACATATGTTTTTATTATATTCTTAATATTTTTTTATTCGTTTTACAGTTTTTAAACATTAAATTTATTTATCAATTTAGAATATATAAAAATTTTAATATTTGCATAAGTTTTTTTTGTCCACTTATTCATCTTTTCAACAAATTTAACGGGGACGAATCATAAGAAAAGTCAATGAAAACTATTCTCCATTATATATTATGATGAACTTTAACCAGTCAAAGTGTCATCATTTTTATAAAACTCAAAAAATTATTAGTTTTAAAGGAAATGTTGTCGCATCGACTTTTTTGTTGACAAACCGACATCGACGAACAAGTTGACGATAACCATAACATATGGTTTTTTATTTTATTTTTTATATTTTTAATTCTTTTATGGTTTTAAGCATTAAATTTATAGATTCAATTTAGAAGATTTAAAATTTTTACTATTTAGATAAGTTTTTAATTCCTCTTATTCGGTTTTTTAATAAATTTAATAGGGACGAATTACAAGAAAAGTCAACAAAAACTGAACTCCATTAAGTATTATGATAGACTTAACCAATCAAAGTGTCAACATTTTTATAAAACTCAAAAAATTGTTAGTTTTAAAGAAAATGTTGTCGCGTCGACTTTTCCATCAACAAACCGACATCGACGAACAAGTCGACGATAACCATAACATATGGTTTTTTACTTTATTTTTTTTATTTTTTTTTAATTCTTTGATGCTTTTAAGCATTAAATTTATAGATTCAATTTAGAAGATATAAACTTTTTACTATTTAGATAAGTTTTTATGTACTATTATTCGTTTTTTAAACAAATTTAACGGGGATGAATCATGAGAAAAATCAACAAAAACTAAACATCATTATGTATTTTGATAGAATTTACCCAATCAAAGTGTCAAGATTTTTATAAAGCTCAAAAAATTATTAGTTTTAAAGGAAATGTTGTCGCGTCGACTTTTCCGTCGACAAACCGACATTGACGAAACAATCGACGATAACCGTAACATTTGGTTTTTTATTTTATATTTTTATATTTTTTTAATTATTTTATGATTTTAATCACTAAATTTATAGATTCAATTTAGAATATATAAAATTTTTACTATTTAGATAAGTTTTTATATCCTCTTATTCGTTTTTTTTTTCAACAAATGTAACGACTTCAAATCACGAGAAAAGTCAACGAAAACTAACCTCTATTATGTATTATGATAGACTTTCACCAATCAAACTATCAACATTTTTAATAAAACTCTAAAAATTGTTAGTGTTAAAGGAAATGTCGTCGCGGCGACTGTTCCGTTGACCCACCGAAATTGACGAACAAGTCGACGACAACCATAACATATGGTTTTTATCATGTTTAAAATTTTTTTATACTTTTTATGATTTTTAAACATTAAATTTATGTATCAATTAGAATATATATAAAGTTTTTACGATTTGCTTAAGTTTTTTTTATGCACTTATTTGTTTTTTTAACAAATTTAACGGAGACAAACAAGAAAAGTTAACGAAAAGTAAACTCCAATATATATTATGATAGACTTTAACCAATCAAAATGTAAAAATTTTAATAAAACTCATAAAATTGTTAGTTTTAAAGAAAAAGTCGCCGCGTCGACTTTTACGTCGACCAACCGACATTGACTCAATAGTCGACGAGAACTATAACATATGGTTGTTTATTATTTTTATATTTTTAATTATTTTTATGTTTATTAAGAAATAAATTTATATATTAATTTAGAATATATATAGTTTTCACTATTTGCATAAATTTTCTAGTCCGCTTATTTATTTTTTCAACAAATTTAACAGGGGCGAATCACGAGAAAATTCAACGAAAACTAAACTACATTTTGTATTATGATAGACTTTAACCAATCAAAGTATCAAAATCTTAACAAAACTAAAAATTGTTCATTTTGAAGGAAATGTTGTCGGATTGACGTTTCTGTTGGCAACCCGATATCGACGAAAAAGACAATGATAACCATAACATATGGTTTTTTATTTTATTTTTTTAATATTTTTTTAATTATTTTATGGTTTTAAGAATTAAATTTATAGATTCAATTTAGAAGATTTAAAGTTTTGACTATTCGCATAAGTTTTTTTTTGTCCTTTTATTCTTTTTTTTTCAATAAATTTAACGGGGTTTAATCACGAGAAAAGCCAACGAAAACTAAACTCCAGTATGTATTATGATAGAGTTTAGCCAATCAAAATGTCAAC